ACGCTTAACAGCACAACCATAAGATACAACAAACGTCGCACGAGTATCATTTCGGCAAAAAAGTATACTGTGTTGTTTAGTATCAGTTAACTGCAAAAAGAAGAACAAAAACAATTGTAACACAGTATAAAGAAAAGAATAGAGCAAAACAAAAACAGCAGTCAAAACACACTACAAAAAATAAAAAAAGAATAGAATAGTACCACATACACGAAAGCCCAAGCAAAACAAAACAAAGAAATTAAGAGCACACAATACACAATCCAGAGAACTGTGCGTATGTTTGAGCTAATATGAAATTAATACTACATTTGTCTGTTACTGTCTTATTTTTCCAAGGACTCACCATCATCATTGCCGCAGGAGAAAAAACACTATGACCCAGCAAACCAACAGCAAATAAAGAAACAGATATTAACCATTGAGCCTAACTTACCAGTAGACACAAGAAATATACCACCTATGGGTACAAGTCTATATGTGTACGTATATACACGCAATTATAAATATAAATTCATCTCTTATTATTATTTCCTTTTCCTTTCCTGCAAAAAACAGTTCATCATCATCACAATGCAAGCCCAGGTGCACACACACAGAGAGTCTCCAAGAACACACACACAATGGAGTGGCAATAATAATTATTATAGGATAAACACACAGAGAGCAAAAACACACACAAAACACAATAACATTAAGAAACAAAAAAAGAAGATAATCCCAACAGGTGGAAGATTAGTTAGATTGTAGGGATGTATGCAAAAAAAAGAAAAGAAAACAAAGGATGATCTGAGTCACACCACACCACCACTACAATCAGCACACAAGAATACAGGCCAGTGTAACCACAATCAGTAGTGGCACACGCACCCATACAGAACTGCTGATACTGCTGCTGCTGTCTGCATCACCCTTCTTGTTGTTTGTGAGTTCAGGAGGAAGTGTTGTTGTTGTGGTGGTGGTGGTGGTGGTATCTGTATTTCCTATAACATCTGTGTTGTTTGTTGATTCACTTCCTGAAGGGGTGACCTCTTTCAAAGGAGAAGAAGAATCTGCGCTGGCATTCTCTGTTTCCGAATTGCTGGATTGGTTTACAGAAGAAGAAGAAGGTTGTGTGTCTCGATCTTCATGAGGTTGTGTATTACTTCCCTGTGCATGTTCAGCTGACGTTTCTTGATCCCTGCTACTGGGGACTTGTGTTGTACCAGGTTTAACTGTTTCTGGTCCACTGATGGGTTTTTGGTGGCTCCTTTCGTTACCTTGCTGATTTTCTTCTTGTTCTGAGGCATCACCAGGTCTACCTTGTTGTGTGCTCTGTCCTTCTGTGGAAACAACAGAAACACCAGGAGCACTTGTCGTTTGGGGTTGTGAGGTGTGCGTATCTGTACGGCCTTTAGTTGCTTCTTCTCCCTTTTGAGTTTTTGCAAGAGAAGGCACCGGCGTGGGTGGTCCTTCGCAGGGTTTCTTTTCTCTTCCTTCACCAGATGGTGCCTCACAATCTCCTTCGTTCACAGTATTTTTTAACCTTTCTGCTTCTCTCCCCTCATCAGGGTTCTCATTACCAGATGCAGTCGTCTGAAGAGCCACGCCACCAAGTTGCTCATCAGCTTCTTCTGCCGCTACCACAACACTGCAGACACAACACAGTGCGATCGTCAGAATACAAAGCACACGACGTAGAGCCATCATTATTTTTTTGTTGGTGTTCCTATATATATATATTCAGTGGTCCAAAAATGATGAAGAAAGGAGTAACAGAAACACAGATAATGGGATAAACATCAAACAAAAGAAAACTATTGCAACAAACACACAAAACACATTAACATTAAGAAACAAAAAAAAAGATAATCCCAACAGGTGAAAGATCAGTTAGACTGTAGTGTGGATGTATGCAAAATAAGAAAAAAGAAAACAAAGGATGACCTGAGTCACACCACCACCA